TGTTAACCCGTTCTCTTGCGTGTGGAATCTCCAGCAACGAAGGCAGACGCTACCGGTTACCTCCAAACTTCCCAGTTCGTTTCCACCCTTCCGATGCCATCGAATTTGGCTCAGACAAGAAGGTAGCCATATCCTGTTCTCCATATCTTTCTTACCTTTGCTTCCTATCTGCCCGATGATCCAGTCAATCATGATTCGTCGTGGAATGCCCACTTCTGGATTCAGAACTCTGATCAGTTTGTGCAAATTTGCAGGCCATGTTCCGGGTGAAGGTGCTGAGCACGCTTCCGTACGACTCCGCGAGAGGAGGGGGAGAAGTTCTGCAGGCAGCATGAGTGGGGACTTCAACGACCCCTTGTCACCAGCCACTGTACAGCATTCTTCAGTAAACAGCCGACACTGCATCATGGAAAGAAAAAGAATTGTAACTTTTGCACTCATCCAGATATCCAAAGCAGGATTTTGAGTAGCTTCTGACAGAATTACTACGTTGCAGTTCTACGAAAAAGAACCGAGGGTGTACAATAGGGTAGGCAATTTTTAGCTGTTGCCACTGTAATATTGTACCTAGTACAGTACATTGTTGTGCCTATTAACACGTGTTCATACTGAAAGATAGAAATATTGCGTAATCAAGCCGAAGGCAATTATAGCATGAACACCATGACGCAATGGACCAAAGGAAAAACACCATGATTCGTTCCAAGGCATATGCACCAGTAGTCTGTAGTTCGATATTTTCTCTTCGTGGTAAGAGCGAGAGTTAGGACTTAGGACCCAGGAATCAACTTAGTAGAAAAAAGTAATCGTCAGCAGCTGAACCTTAGGATCATGACGGCGGATCCAAGACACGCGGTGGTGTGGTCTTCGCTGCCGCGGCCGTGGCTCGCCGTCGAGGTGCGGGATCTGGGGCGGGACCACTCGATCGTAGCCCCGCGCAGACCGACTCTACAGCCGTTGGATCATCCTTGGTCGGCCCAGATGTACGCTCGGTAGGCATGTATACTCCACCGGTACGCCGAGTGAGGTGTCTGCCCTCGTAAGCCATGTCACCTCGGGCCGCCGGCGACCGCCGCGAGAGCGAGACCCTAGCCAAGGTCTCCCTCTCGTCGGTCTCGGCCGCCGCGGCGGAGGTCTCCACCTTCCCCCTCGACGCCCTCAAGACGCGCCTCCAGCTCCACCGCAGCACCGGTGTTGGTGGCGGCGGCGGCGGCGTCGTACGCGTCGCGGGCGAGCTCGTCCGCGACGGGGGGCTCTACCGGGGCCTCTCCCCCGCTGTCCTCCGGCACCTCTTCTACACCCCGCTCCGCATCGTCGGCTACGAGCACCTCCGGTCCTCCCTTGCCGGCGGGGGCCGGGAGGTGGGCCTCCTCGAGAAGGCGGGTGCTGGGGGAGCCTCCGGCGTCGCCGCGCAGGTAACATGTCTCTGTGAATATCAGATCCGTCGAAGTGCTTTGCTCTTGTGCCTGCACGGCGGTGTGCCATTCGGCTTAGCTAATCAGGGAGCTTTTGATCTGTGCTATGATGGAGAAATGTGATCTCCTGAACTAGATTGAGAACTTGGTAATATTAGGCTTTCAAAATAGTAAATCTGAAATCATGTCCGTTGGAGAACTGAGAGAATGTATCTCTGAAACTAGCATGGCTGTTTGGATGCCGTAACAAGCTATTCATTTTAAACACTGCTAACCATCGCCATTCTTTTACATACTCCCTCTGTAAAGAAATATAAGAGCGTTAATGATCTATAAATGCTCTTATATTTCTTTACGGAAGTAGTGGTGTAAACGCTCTTATATTTCTTTACGGAGGTACTAGTACGTATGAAGAAGTGTATTAGGGTGTATCTTTTTCATTACAACTTAAATTCCAAATATTGCCGGCATTCCACCTTATCCTCATGTGATGACTATATTTGGTAATACCTCCGTGACACATGAAGCCACAGTGGGGTCCATCTTGGCTGTGGCATCAACCTCAATCATGTCCGTTACATCGGCTGATAATGCTTCAATGAACTATAAGATTGTGATCAAAACTTGTAGTGGACACGGTGCGTGTCACACACTCGACGTCAGTGTGACTAGGGACTAGGGATTGCAATTCACAGTGTAGGATTTGGGACTGAGGTCCAGGGTACTCAGTGATGCCCCATCATGGTTTTTTTTTTTTTGAACCGGGCATAACCACTTTCCATGAACTCAATAACGGAAATACACATCAAACTAGTGTCAACAGGGGACGGGAAAGGGGAAAGCGAGTTCAACGCATCGCCGGGAAACCCACCACAGGAACTCCCCTATGAGATACCTGCTATGGGGCGAAAACCCGACGACACCCAAGCCTCACAAAAGAGTTACGCAGAAAGTTCAGGGAACAGGCTCCACACACGAGCACTCCCAACACTCACGCAGGAGCTGAGGACACACACAGTTTAATCCAAAAGGAAGGCAATGCCTAGCAGAAAGCTAAAGTAAACCCTGCAGCAATATGAAAGATGATGCTGCTGTAGCTCATCGATCAGGTCGCTGCCCAGTCGTCCGTGCCCCATCAGGGTTGTGAAGTTGCTGGATACAATATGGTTTGACTAGCACTCTCATCCAGGCCTCAATTGTATTCCTCACTGTTGGCTTCACAATGGGCAAATAAGTGTGAGGTGCGGTGTTTCTGATGGCCAGATGAGAAATTATGTACGGATTTGAAACAGTATCATCTAACTGGACT